CCTGAGCAGCCACCCGCCACTCCAGTACTCATCACAATAAACTGCCGCGCCAGCAAGAGGGGCGCAGGAAGCCGAGCAGCTCCCATTTCCAGAGCTGGAGTGCTGCCAGCAGACGCAGGGGACCGCTCTGTCCCCACCCTGCCCTGGACCAGCTCCCTCTCCTGCCCAGGTCTGAAGTGGGACAGGGCAGACAGAAGGCAAAGGAAGGAAAGCCATACTCAGGAGCACCTGCATCCCCCAGGCTGGACCACCCTGCTCCAGCCTCTGCCTCCCTGGCAGAGCAGCCCGGCTCCGTTCCAGCCAGCTCTCCCCCTTCCCTGGCTGCTAATGGGTCTCAGAGCGGCGAGGCAGCGCAGCCGGCGAGCGAGTGAGGCGCCCCCCCGACACAGCGGGTCAGGGCTTCAGAGGAAGAGGAGCCCGAGTGGCCGACGCGCGGGGATGCCACGGCGCCAGCAAGCCATCACGCCCGGCAACTCAAGCCTTCCTGGAGCCAGGTGGCATCCACCCATGCCTGGCACAGCAGACTGGAGCAAAGGCAACGAGGCGGCTGCCACTCACCGGCGTTGACGATGGCGTCCACCTCCAGCTTGGTGATATCTCCACGGAACAAGGAGATCTTCTCGTTGAGCTGCTTGTCCTTCTTGTACTTGGGGTCCTCCACCTTCACAGCCACCCCTGGAACAAGCCGGGGGGTCACAAAGAGGTCTCCCCCACCCCCCACAGAGCAACCCAGCCAGTGCTCAGGGCCAGGCCCCCTATCCACCCCTGCACACCTCCAGAGCAGCCTGCTGCGGGGTGACGGCTGATACCAGTCCCGACAGCCGAGGCTGAGTAGGCACCTACTGTGTGCAGCACCATGCCAGGCTCCTAGAGCCCTCGCAGCGCTACCGGCAGGTCCAGTATTTATCATCGATCCCCACTCTATAGATGTGGACACTGAGCTTGCGGCCAGATAAACGATTTGCCTAGAATTATAGGGTGCCTGAAGCCAGCAGGTGGCGTAGTGGTTAAAGATGCTGCACTCCCACATGGTTGACTGCAGTTCGAGTCTCAGACCTGGCAGCTTGCTTTCTCACTCTCTCCCTTTCTCTCTCTCTTTCTCTGGTCAAATTAAAATAAGAATAAGAATAATAAAGTTAACTAAAAATAATTATTTTTTTTAATTATATTGGGACTAGCAGTTAGCATAATGGCTATGTTGCTGGACTCCCATGTAGTCGACCAAGGTTTGAGTCCTGGACGCAGTGG